TGAAAAGTTACATTTCCAGCAACTTATCACAGTTTTGAGAAATGTAACCAGAGTAGCACAGACTTCACTGTCACCACTGTGGTATGTTCACTGTCTGTGAAATGACAAATAGCTCCTGAATTTAAAAAGACACCACTCTGTGCACATCTAATGAAATGTGTGCAGTGAATTCACCTCCACTGTGTCAGATCAAACCCTCCACCTCCGATTTAAGGCTCACTGCATTAGAGCAAAGTTAGAAGCGCAGCTTTCCTGCAGCTTGTCTGAACTTGTATCGGCTGTTTGTCACTTGTCGTCTCTGCTTGAATTTTGAAGCTCACTGTTTGGAGGTTGCTTCTGCGCGCTTGTCTATTTGCATCCTTCTGTTATAAACACAGACTGATGTGCCACACATTAAAGATAACCTTTGGGTTGAAACCAGAGTGTCACCTTAGTGCTTTCCATTTCATGTCCATGTGGTGTGTTTAACCTCCAGGTGTCCAAGAGGCTGAATCGCAGGGTAAGAGTTGTTGTCCTTTCAACACATTTACAACACAAGCGAACTGCACACACACAGGAGTTTTGTAGCCTGGGATAAAGCAACAGCTGCCTCTTGACTGTGATTCTTGTGATACAGCAAATGTTCAAATTAGACGAATACCTGTAACGGCTTTAGGACGCGCTCTGAATAAATTTTGCATGCGATGCAAACTTGAGCAGTTTGTTACTGTGTGACGGTGTGTAACCAAATCAGCCTCCTTCTGCAGACAGACCAGAGCTGCTGCTCCTCTCTGCTCACTGTACTTCCTGTTTGATCCCTCTCTGCCTTTCTTCATCTTTCTTTTTTCATTCTTAATTAAGTCTGAAACTGACTCCACTACAACAGAGAAAGAAACCAACCAGACGAACTGTAGCGCCTCAATGAGAAAATCAAATTAAAGTGGGGGTTGTTTTGTAACTCGATGTTGTTTGATGAGTGGACTGGCTGCAAATCAATTTCCCATTGGGGACATTAAAGCTACCAAACAGTGTTTGCATGTGAAGGCCGTCGCAGTGGTGGGAGCATCAAGCTGTGGGAATAATTCAGTGTTTCTGGAACTGGGAATCATGCCAGTGGGTGGAAGGAATCCTGAATGGATCTGTGAAGCTTCTGAGCAAACTTATGTCTGGTTTGTTATAATAACAATAATAATACTTTTTATCTATAGGTGCCTTTAAGAGCCTCAAGGTCACCTTACAATAGCACAAGAACAATAGCAACAATACAATAAAAAACATGGCAAAATAACATTTAGAGATAAGGTAAATAAGAAAAACACAAGCATGAAAGTATAAAAGCTGAGCAAGGTAAAAATGGACTAAGTACTGAATAGATGAGTTTTCAGATGTGATTTAAAAGTGGTTTGTAGTCGGGAAGTTCTGGTGGAAGTGCATCCACCACACAGCCGGAGCAGAGTGGGGTTGTTAGGCCTGGGGTTCAAGCTTGACAGGAAGTGCTTCTTGGAGCTCTACCAGGGCCCAAAATGCCTGGAATTAT